AATACTGCCCGCCCCTGCGCCATCCTCATAGTCATCTCATCGCTATGCTTGCGCCCATTGTTGCAGCCACGTGCTAATCATCTCTTTGAGGGTCCTCTTCTGTTCCACTGACCCCATAGTTTACCCAGCATGATGTTCTTTTCCAGGGGCTGGTCTCTCCAGAGAACATGTCCCAAGTACCTGGCTGTACTTTGGGCAATCGATGGCACATTTAATATTCTTCACTAACACCATGACTCACAGGCACCAATTCTTCTTTGGTCATCTTTATTCATTGTCCAGTTTCATATGTTACGAGGCAAATGAAAATACTACGGCTTGGGTCAGGTGCACCTTAAGGCTTCCATGTGACATCTGTGTAGCACTTTGAAGAGCTCTTTGGCAGCAGATTTGCCCAGAACACTGGGTCATTTAATTTCCTGACTGCTGCTTCCTTGGGTGTTCACTGTGGAGAAAAATAAAATGGCATCCTTGAAAATGTCGATCTTTTTTAAGCCTCATTATCATGGTGTTGCTTAGTCAACCAGTTGTGGAGATTTGTATTTTCTTTCTGTTGAGGTACAATCCAGCCTAAACGCTGTGCCTTTGCTCTTCGTCAGTAAGTGCGCCAAGTGCTTTTGGCTTTCACGAAAGAAGACTGTCATCGATTGATTGCAGGTCATTAATGAACCTTGCTCCAATTCCAGATGCTCTGCATAATGATTAAATAAATACAGTAAATATATATAATCCTGACACGATTCTTTATTTGACTTCAAACTGTATTCTCTACAAAATAATGCTTCTTGATTCCCCATGAGCACAAGTAAGAATTCCCATTCTTCACAATGTTATCCATGGTTTGTTAAGATCCACAGAGTTGAAGGTCTTTTCAAAGTCAATAATAATAGGTAAACATCTCTCTACTATCATCTGCTTTCCGCCAAGATCCATCTGTTAACAGCAACGATGGTCCTAGGTCCAGGCCCTCTTCTGAATCTGGCTTGAATTTCTGGCAGCTCCCTGTCAATGTACTGCTGCAATTGCTTGTTTGTTTGTTCATTTTTTTAATGATCTTCAGTAAAATTTTACTTACCTGTGGGAGTCATGATTGGATAATTTCTGCTTTCTCTTGGATTACCTCCTTAGCCTTTTGCCACCTCTAAATACTTGGCTATAAATTTCTAAATGTAAAATTATCAATAGTTCTGTTAGGTAGCTTAGTTTAGGGATTGGGGTGTTTAATTACACATGCTCAGAGGTTCCAGCTTCTGGCCAGGAGGGGGTGGTACATCTGTGTAGGCGCTGCACCTAGATTCGCCCACCTAGGCCAGGTGAATTCAATTCAACCAATGAGGACGACCAGGGTCAACAACCACGCCTCCCCGGAGAAATTGAAAAGGCAGCATTCCCGAGCCCACCACGTGACTTTCTGGAGCAGCTTCTAGACAGGTGGAAGGGGGTGAGGGGTCCTGAGGGTGCCTGTGCAAACCAGAAACTTCTAACTTCCATAAAACTCACTTGGATCACCAGGCTTCAGCGTGAATTCTTTCTCGAGTGGAGCTATGGACCGAGGTATATCTCTCCCCCAGAGATCTAATAGTTCTTTCTATTAGTCCTTTCTAGATTACATATAAAGTAACATTAATGTGAAAACGTTGACTAATAAAATAACACCCCAAAGAGTTGGTCATCCTTTTGTTAATTCTTATTGCTTGTTCTAACAATAAAGAGCCCTGGTGGCACGGTGGTTAGACTGCTCCACCAGAGAAAGATGCGACAGTGTGCTTCAGTCAAGAAATGCAGCCCTGGAAACAGTGAGGAAGTTCTGCCGTATCCGATACAACAGCGAGTTGGAATTGACCCAACAGTTTGATTGCTTTAGCATTTAGCAATATCGAGAGGTTTTGTTTTCCATTTTCCCTACCCTCTCTGAGTGGTCTCGACTTCTTTAGAATGTCTACTTAATAAGGACAATTCAGGTGAACATTTGTCCTCACCCCAGATCCTGCAGTTTTTAGAAATGGTACTTTTTAACTAATAGGCTATTTATTTCATGGGCAGAAGTGTTTGAAGTGTTTTGAGGTTTGTTTTTATTAACTCCCCCACCCCACCCACCCAACTGTTAACTTTTAAAAAAATAATTTTAAAATTGTGAATTAGGTTGGGGGGTTAGATTTTGGATCACCAATTTTGTATTCAACAACTTAAACTACTTTATCCAACCTTCCAAAGCTTGCCTTTTCCTTGCCTTTGATTTCTCTCCTTCCTCTTGTAAAAGATGACCTTCGCCTTCACCCTAATCTCACCTGTGAGCCCTCTGCTATTGTGCAGCTTCTTTCCCTTACATTCTCCCCTTGATAAACATCAAAGTCTATTCTTTTGGTATGAACACCCGTGTGTCTATTTCTTTTTTATTCTGTAGCCTTGGCCTTATCCAACATGTGTCCTTTGTGATTGACAAATTGCAGTCAGCATGATGTTCTCCAGATCCATCCATACCAGGAGGTGTTTCAGGGTGTCATCTTTATTTCTTAGCGATGCTTCGTATTCCATTATGTATATGTACCCATATGTCTATATAGCACTCTATTGGGGGATATTTCCTTATAATAAATAGTGCTGCCATGAAATGGCTGTGCATATGTCTGTCCTTGTTATAACTCTTACTTCTATAGGGTACATATCCAGCAAAGGTCCTATGGAATTTCTACACCCAGTTGTGTTAGGTAGTGCCATATCGTTTTCCAAAGGGCTTGTTCATTCTTACAGTCCCATCAGCAGCCTGTAAGGGTTCCAATCTCTCCACACCCTCTCGGTATTTATTATTTTCTGGGTTTTGTTTTAGCTTTGCTGTCAATGCCAGTGTGGGTGTTATATCATCATTGTTTTGATTTATGTCTCCAGGACAGCTTGAGGTCATGAGCATTTATTTCTTCATATGTTGGTTGGCTCTCTCTAGATGTCTCCTTTGGTGAACTACCCGTGCATGTCTTCATGACAAAAGCATCTTAAATAGCCCTGAGGATTAAACAGTAAAATCTAGAAAATAAGAAGAGAAAGAAAGGGAAGAGATTGAGTTGTATGACTTCCAAGGAAGGAAAGGAAATGCACACAGTTTGGTGCCCATTCATTTTCAAAAATGTTCCCATTAAACATGCTAGAAGTGAAAATGCTGGTGGACTCTGTAGCCTCTGATTTTATACTTGCGGTTTACAAGTTTCATGTGGTTCCTGAGAATGGTTTTTCACTTCCAAGTACTTAAAAATAAAATTAAAGTACAGATAAAATATATATTTCTCTTCTAACTTTGCCTCACTACTTTCAATACTGTCCTACAATTAACCACTCCACAGAACAGCTGGCTACCTTCTTGAGTGAGCCTTCCGGCTCAAGAAGCCCTTTCTTCCTAAACACCCTCCTTCAATCTTTCAGTACGCTTTTATTTGTTGATCTCAGAAGGGTAAAAAAATCCTATTTGCTCTTACTGAATACTAATTAAATGTGTACAAGATTCCACTCGTGGGTTATATAAACGTATACTTTTGGCAGCCTGTGCTCTTCTGAGAGAGCTTGAGGTACTCAACTTGTTAATCGACTGGAGGCTTTAGTTTTGTCAGGCACAACATCGAAATGGGTTTTTTGCTTCATAACTTAACTGAAAAGCTTTCTTTTCTGGGAGCAAACAGTGGAGAAAGTTTTATTAACTGAAGAGAAGAAAATGAATGACATCAAAGAGAGAAACATAGCAGGAAAGTTGTGTTTTGTCCTTTTTAAAAAAAATTTCTATCCTTTTTTTGTGAGGATGGCATGGGTAAAACCTCAGAGGGAGGTTAGAGAAACCAGCCTTAATAGCCAATCCCTTTTTGGCCCAGCAGTGAGCTTAATAAATAAAGAAGCAAGTTTATTCCTTGCTCAGAAACCTAATGGCAAATATGTTAAGTGGTTGATTTGATGCAAAATTCTGCCTGGGTTTTCCAATTCCGTCTAGTCTTGTTCTTCGGGAGGAAAATAAATTCAGCAAGTTGACCGAGTCCTATGATGGGTTCTTCGTCTGAGCTCCCACGGGTTTGGAGATCTCTTCTTCCCAGCAGAAGTAGACTTCCAAGAGATCATGAATTTCAGTGCCCCGAAAAACGCAACTTGTTCTAGGAGATTGCATCGGGCTGCAGCATATAGGTTACAGCATGTTCTGGGGACCTAACAGATATTTACATATTTATAATGTATGCACCATTTTGTCCACTCTGAGCCCCTGTGCCCTGCCCCCTGTGCTTAATGTAGAAGAACACCTGTGTCAATGGCAGAAGCATAGCTGTATTTGGATTCCATGAGGACCACCATCTTCAACCTAATGTGTCCAGGAATTGAGATCTTTCTTAGTGCCCAGAGCCTCTTAATTGTCTAGTACTACTATAACAGAAATATAAGTAGATAAAAAGATCACAAATTTATTCATCACAATCATGGGAACGAAAAGTTCAATGTAAGTCTCAGATACTTTAATTACTGCCTTGTCAGTATCCCGGATGTTTCTGACTCCCTTGGCTCATGGACAATACTCACGTGGTGTCTGTCTCCTAGAGGCTGTGTGGATGTATCTATGTCTAATCTTCTGTTTTGTATAACTCAGAAGTGATGAGATTTAGAACCCATCCTGCCTGGGCAAGATTAATTTGTATAGCAACGTGATACATAAAACGATTGGAGAAAATAAAGTGAGAATTCTATAGCATACATATGTGTTACTGAATGATAACCTGGCAGAAAGAGCACTTGACTAAGAGCTTTAGGACTAGACTCAGAAATCCCTTGTCTCGTACCCTGTGGCCAACTTGTTTCACTTTGGGTTTTATGGTAGGAGGAATTACTGTAAGAGGACTTCAACTCATGTCACTTTCTAGTAAGAATCAATGGTCACTTTCCTTTGAAGTCAATCTAACATGAGTTCTTTTGCAATGATATCACTCTGATACGGTCTCTCGTGATAGACTAATTTTCTTCTGCCACTTCTTATACAGGACCCCAAGTTACGTGAACTTCTGGATGTGGGGAACATTGGACGCCTGGAACATCGCATGATAACAGTGGTCTATGGGCCGGACTTGGTTAACATCTCTCATTTAAATCTCGTGGCTTTTCAAGAAGAAGTGGCCAAGGTAAGATAGCTGGAAACATCAGAACTATGCCACATTGAACTGACATCTTGTAATCTTGTACTGAGGCTTGGGAAAGACGTTTGAGTTTTTGTCATGCTTAACATGAGCAGTTCTTTAAAAAGTCTGCTCTTAAATTTAAGTGTAATTCTAACAATTCTGCATGCTGGTATCTACTTAGATTTTTTTCTCCATTCAGGATAAGGCACTGCATATAATTCCATTGCAAAAGAAAATATAGGTACAAGTACCTTCCCTTCCCCTGAACAGCTTATTCCAAGTCATTCTTACTCAGTCTCATTCCAAAGTCACTTCCGAGCTCTCCTTCCCAGCTCTCTCCTTAAGGATGCATATTCATCACCTTTAGACTCCCCTTTCCTGCACGAAGCCAAGCCTACTTTCATGCACAGAGTTTGTGCTCAGCAATTCGTGGGGAGAGAAATGAGGGGGGGATCCATCCATATTTATTCAGTGCTACAGAGTGGCTAGCCACTGCATCAGTAAAGTATGAATTTGCTTAAATAGCAGGTTAATTAGAGGCATACTCAAGGAACTAGACCATATGGCATCCTATACCAAACAAGGCACTGTGAACTGACTGGAATGTTGGAGTTAAGGGTCATCACTTATCTAGAAATGTCTAATTGCTATTAAAAAATATGGAGATATACATTAAATAAGAGTTTTCTAATTCCACATTTATAGTTTATAGAACACTATTGATGATGCTACCCTTCAAATAATTTGCTTCAACAATTTAAAATGTGAATCTAAAATTACTTTGAAGCTTGCATGTCATAAATGTTTCTGTAAAGAACTTCGTCTATCATGGATCACAATTAATGGGACTTGTCACAAAACCGTATCTAATCCGTGTGCATGTGAATTTTAACTCTGAATGTGCTGCCTCATGTCTGAGGTACTCTGGGTACCCAGATGCTCTAGCGACCTGGTTTATTTCCAACATTTGCATGGCATGGCGTCCACTGCGATTCTTATAATGGGAGAAACTAAATGACAACCACTTATAACACTCTGAAGTCTTAGAAGCTTCTTTGCAAGAAAGTGGTCCAAACCTATCTAATTTCTCCACTTTAGAGCCAGGTTACTTTTATTTGCTTCAGTAGACTAATTTATACGTGGCCAAATGTCGGTCAAAGAGCATCTGGGTGATAGCATTGTACTTGTCTTTTAGTAGTTCTTCCTCTGGTATCCTTCCATTTCTCCGTCAGTGTGTGGTCCTGTGCTGCCGCAGGCTGTGTCCCTGGTTCTGAAAATTCCAGCAGGCTCACCCAAAGGGAGTGGGCTTCAGTGGAACTTCCAGACTCAGAAGAAGGAATAGTCGATCCACCTCTGAGGAAGTAGCCATGGAAAGCCTTGGGCGGAGCGTCAAAACATTGTCCGAGACGGAGAACGTCATGACCAGAAGCAGAACATCATCAGAGAGAGTGCCAGAAGATGAGCCCCTCAAGTCGAAGGCACTCAACATATGACTGAGGAAGAGCTGCCTCCTCACAGTAGGATCTACCAGCATGAAGTGGAGGGGGTGAAACCTGGGGGGTTACATTTGCTAATGAGGCAAGACTCAAAATGGGAAGAAATAGCAGCAAACATCAATTAATAAATGGAGCTTGGATTGTCGGACGTGTGAATCTGGAAACATTGTAAGTTTTCAGAAATGAAGTGGATTACTATTCTAGTTGTTAGTAAGTTGAAATGGACTGTGTTGGCCATTTTGAATCAGAAGATCATTTGGTTTGCTCTGCCTGGAATGGCAGACTCAAGGGGCATGGTGTTACAGTCATGATCAAAAAAGGATATTCCAAAATCCACCTTGAAGTACTATGTGTCTGTGATAGGATAATATCTATCCACATACAAGGAGATCCAATCAATACAATGATTGTTCAAACTTACGCACTAGCCACTAAAACTAGTGATGCAGAAATTTTAAAATTCTAGCAATATCTCTGGTCTGAAATTAATCAGACATGTGATTAAGATACACTAATAATCATTGGTGATTGGAATGCAGAAGTTGGAGATCAAGAGGAATAAAGAGTAATTGGAAAATGTGAGACCTTGGGGACAGACACAAAGACAGAGATTGCCTGATAGAATTTTGCAAGACCAACAACATATTCATAGAAAAGGAGTTGAGCCTCCAGTATGGATACAATTCAATGCAAAGAAAAGCAAGATCCTTACAACTGGACCAATAGGTAACACCATGATAAATGGAGAAAAGATTGAACTTGTCAAGGATTTCATCTTGCTTGGATCCCCAGTCAATGTTCATGGAAGCTGCAGTCCAAGATCAAGTTATTCATTGCACTGGGTAAATCTGCTGCACAAGACCTCTTTAATGTGTTGAAAAGCAAGGAGCTTACTTTGAGGAGCCTGGTCCAAGCCATAGTATTTCCAGTGGTCTCAGTTGCATGTGAAAATTAGACATTGAAAGGGAAGACTGAAGAAGAATCTATGCATTTGAGATTGGAAGCTGGCAAAAAATACTGAAGGCACCATCACTGACTGCCAGAAGAACAGATAAATTGGTCTTATATGTATAGCCAGAATGCTTCTTAAGAGGCAAGGATGGCAAGACTTTGTACTTTAAGCATGTTGTCAGGAGAGACTAGTCCTGAAGAGGAGCATCATTTTTGGTAAAGTAGCCGGTCGGTGAAAGGAGGAAGGAAGAGCCTGGACAAGATGGAGTGACACAGTGGCTACATCTGGGGCTGAAGCATAACCCAAGTTGTTAGGAGGGCTGAGGACCAGGCAGCGTTGTTTTGTTCCATTGTACATCAGGCTGTTGTGAGTCACAATGGAACCAACAATGGTGCTGACATCCTGTTGGTCATCTGCTGTGTTATAGAGAGTTACATTCTTAGCATATGGAAGGATGATCGTATGATATAATAAATATAGTTAAACAAATGCAAAAGATTTCCAGGGATTTGTAGAATATATTTCTCCAAATGTAATCCTATTCCTTAAAGAGTGACCAATTCATAAGATTATCTAAACCTATATGAATATCTTGTTTGCATTAAGCCTTTATGAAGTTATGTTTTCAACATATACAATTTCTTCCTCTTATGAGTTCCTACCACAAATCTTCCCTAAGAATTTTGATTTCTGAGCCCTGGAATAATCCCCATCAGAACTACATTTATAGAGGCTTTTCCAGCTACTTCAGTACTCCTCCTATAGCTAATGTCGCTACATACAGAATATGTTTTACCTTCCTTAGTAATGGTATCTGGGAGGCCTGCTGGCCTAATGAGTTTTCTGTTCGGCTGGTAACCGCAAAGTCAGCAGTTCAAGTCCATGACAGAAAGACGAGGCTTTCTGCTCCCGTAAAGATCAACAGTCTTGGAAACTCACAGGGGCAGTTCTGCCCGGTGCTGTTGGGTCCTCTGGGCTGGAAAGCACTCCTTGGCAGTGAGTGAATGAGTTACAATTGTCTGTAAGGTTGGTCCCACCCCCAAAGAAATTACTCGGTCAGAGGTTAAGATTTGCAAACATCATTTTACTCTGAACACTTCCAATACTATTTGTCTATTATATTTCATATAGACTATAGTCTCATTATATTACGCCTTCTATTTCCTCTCTTTTTTTTTTGTGGTATTTTTAAGGTTTATTCTGTGGACATTTCTTTTTTTTTTTTAAACATTTAATTAGGGGCTCATACAACTCTTATCACAATCCATACACACATCAATTGTGTAAAGCGCATTTGTACTTCATTCTCAAAACATTTTCTCTCCACTTAAACCCCCGACATTAGGTCCTCATTTTTCCCCTCCCTCCCTGCTCCCCCCTCCCTCATGAGCCCTTGATAATTTATGAATTGTTATTTTGTCATATCTTGCCCTGTCCGACATCTCCCTTCACCCACTTTTCGGTTGTCTGTCCCCCAGGGAGGAGGTCACATATAGTTCCTTGTAACCGGTTCCCTCTTTCCTACCCACTCTCCCTCCACCCTCCCTGTTTCGCCACTCACACCACTGGTCCTGTAGGGCTCATCCGCCCTCGATTCCCTGTATTTTCAGTTCCTATCTGTACCAGTGTACCTCCTCTGGTCTAGCCAGACTTGCAAGGTCGAATTCGAGTCATGGTAGTGGGAGCAGGGAGGAAACATTTAGGAACTAGAGGAAAGTTGTATTTTTCATCGTTGCTACATCGCACCGACTGGCTTGTCTCCTCCCCGAGACCCCTCTGCAAGGGGATCTCCAGTGGCCTACTAATGGGTTTTGGGTCTCCTCTCTGCACTCCCTCCATCATTCACTATGGTAAGATTTTTTCATCTCTAAGACAAGTTTATGTGACGCCTTGTATAATGCCAGCACCAAAGCTGACATTTGAGCCTCTTTGAAAGCCTTTTTTTTTTTCAGACGTTGCTTTACAAATGGCACCCAGATCCTTCCTTCCTTCCTTCCTTCCTTCCTTCCTTCATTCATTCAACACATGTCTGTAGGTTGCCTGCTCTGTGCCAGGTGCTGTCTAGTGTGAAGGACACAGCAGTGACTCCGAGAAATCCCTTCCCGCTCTGAGCCAGCATCCCAGTGGAAATACGCAGCTAAGTCAGGGTTAAGCCCAAACATATCCCAGGCCAGTGGGACGCCTGGGAGTCAGACTAAAGCAGGTGGAGAGGGAGCATGAAGGTCAGTGAGGTGGCTTACCCTGTGTGAGGTGGCCAAAGAAGGCAGCCGTTTTTAGAAAGTGGCTGCATTGCAACAATACCACAGCGGCTGTTAGAGGCGTGTCTACTATCAATTTAATTTAAACTTTCCTAGTGCTAGCTAGTCCAGGATTTGCAGGCTTTTCCCCTTGCTTAAATACTTTGTAATAGGATGTATTATATCTCTGTAAACCAACAGACTCTTTTAAGAGCTGGGCATGATGAGAAATCGGTGCCTTTTGCTTTCTCCTGCAGTTGAACTGAACGTGTGATATCTTGCCATCGAACAAAAGTCATAGTTTTGTTAACCAGCATG